GTGTCACCTGGCTTATTAGGCTCAGAGACATTGTCAATCAATTGATTACAATGGAATATATAGACTTTCTATGGGCGGAGGAAAGTAACGGGGTAGGCAGTTCCACACCCTGGGATAGGTTTTACAGCAAGACAAGATAGCACAGTAGCCAATGGTTAACAGGTTACATAATGTCTCTGCCCATGGTCTCAAGTTAGCAAGTTAACATTTAATTAATACTTTGATAAAATGTTATTAGTATAAAATATATATGTTGAATTCTGATTTGGGGTCCATAGGAATGGAACAACTCCTCTGATTGTCCAGCAGGTACATTCCTAGGGGTTAAAACAAAGAATATGGCAATAAAGATTGCCTTCTGTGTGTCTTAAGGCAAGGCATTGGTCCCTGGGAAGGGGAGGTGGAAGGATGCCATATCTTATACTGACATGTGCCAACTTTTCATAAACTCAAGGTTGGATCTGTGGGAAGAACGACTCCCCACAGAAGAAACAAACACAATAGGAACAGGGATTCTTTGTTATTTAGTTCTTAGCTCCAAACAACTGGCAATTTGCTGACCAGGCCTATCTTAGCAAGCAAGGCTTTCTGTTTACCCCAGCTTTCTCTTAGCTGATCTCTATTTGCTAGGCCTCTGGTCTCTTGACCATACTCTGGACTTTGGGTCTGAAACAGAACTGGCACAATCCATATACCATGTTGTTATATAAAATGCACATGGATTTTAACCCTTCAAACATGAATTGGGGAAATATTTCAGTTGACCCATATCTGCATTTGGTTTATCTGAAACAATTCATCCATCTGTAGTCAGTAGGGACTCCTAAGCTGACTCCCCCTCAGTATAGCTGGGAGGATCTCCTCTGTGATGGCTTTGGGGGGCTGGAACTTGCTTCCCCGCTTGATCTGAAACAGCCTGATCTGGCCATGCTGCAAAATGCAGATCTGTTTGACAAGGCTCTTGGGCCTGGTCTACACTGGGTGGAGGGGTGGGATCTATCTAAGTTATGCAACTTCAGCTATGTGAATAACATAGCTGCAGTTGACGTACTTAGACCTACTCACCGCGGTGTCTTTACTGTGGTGAGTCGACTGCTGCTGCTTCCCCATCGACTCTGCCTACGCCTTTCGCAGAGGTGGAGTACAGGAGTCGACGGGAGAGCGCTCGGGGGTTGATTTATCAGGTCTAGACTAGACACAATAAATCGACCCCCTCTGGATCGATCGCTGTCCGTTGATCTGGCGGGTAGTATAGACATACTTTTGGAGAGGTCTAATGGCTTGCCTCCCATAATGATTCATAGGTGCTAAGGTCAGAAGGGAGTATTGTGATCATCTGCTCTGACCTATTGTATAATACAGCAAGAGAAATTCCCCAAAACAGTTCAAGTTTGAAGTATGCTCTACTTTGGTGGGGGTGGGGGGGAAATCCAGTCTTGATTTAAAAATGGCTAGTAATGGAGAATCCACCCCAACCTTTGGAAAATTGATCCAATGGTTAATCACTCTCGCTGTTAAAAATGTACACCTCATTTCCAGTCTGAATTTGTCTTGCTTCACCTTTCAAACATTGCATTTTGCTATACCTTTGTCTGCTATTGAAAAGCCCATTATCAAATATCGGTTCCCCATGTCTCCAATTGTGAAAAAAGGCTTATATCATTATTGGGTATATTAACTGTAGTGTGGGTGAGATAATGTGTTTTATGGGACTAAACTTCTGTTGGTGAGAGAAACGAGTGGCACAGAGCTCTTCCTCACCTCTGGGAAAGGTACTCACAGTATCACAGCATGGAACAGATAGCTTATCATAAATAGTTAGCACATATTCTAAGGGACCAATCAAGGTGAAGTGACCCATTAACACCCTTGTAGTCATGGCACAAAAAAGGGGATTAGTGGGTTATAGATTGTTGTAGCAAACCATAAATCCAATGTCTTTACTAAGACCATGATTTTTAGACATATTTTCTAATCTTTTAATCGTTCTCGTGGCTCTTCTCTGACACCTCTCCAATTTAACAGCATCCTTCTTGAATTGTGAACATCCACTGGACACAATATTTCAGCAGTGGTCGCACAAAGTGCCAAATACAGAGGTAATATAGTCTGTCTACTCCTACTCAAAATTTCCTTGTGTATGCATCTGTGGATCACGTTAGTGTCACACTGGGAGCTCATGTTCAGCTGATAAGCCACCACAGCCTCCAAATCTCCAAGTCAATGCTGAAAGAGTGGAAGGGGAGGAAAAGGAGATTTTGTAGATATCTGGCTGGCCAAGTTCCAGCTACAATGATTACTTAATGTTGCTGGGCTTTCATTGTGTTATTAATTATATGGGGGCAACTGGAGTCTCTGACAGGCATTTTTTTATTATTCTAAACACAAATAAAAAGAAAATAAATTAAATTACCTTAATTCAAAACAGAAGTGATGAATAATGAGCCAGAAACAGATCCAGTCTACCCTCTTGTAGCTGTGTTGGCCCTTCTGGGCCAGCAGAAATATAAATAATCCACATTAATTGAGAAAGCCAGTGAGTACAAGCTGGTAAAGGTATGGAACAGCTTCCATATGAGTGGAAACTAAAAATATTAAGGCTGTTCAGTTTAGAAAAGAGATGACTATGGGGGGATGTGATACAGGTCTGTAAAATCATGACTGGTGTGAAAAAAGGTGAATAGAGAAGTGCTATTTACCCTTTCTCACAACACAAAAACCAGGGGTCACCTGATGAAATTATTAGACAGCAGGTGTAATACAAACAAGAGGAAGTACTTTTTCACACAATGCAAAATTAATCTGTGGAACTCATTGCCATGGGATGTTTTGATGGCCAAAAGTATAACTGGGTTCAAAAAAGAACTAGATAAGTTCATGGAGGATAAAACAGTCAAAGACTATTAGTCAGGAGGGTCAGGGGATGCGTTCCCATGCCTGGGGAAACCCAAAACCTGACTGCCAGAAGCTAGGGGAGGATCTCTCCAAAATTGTGCTGCTCTGTACCTTGAACTTGAAGGTCTGGTACTGCTCACTGTCAAAGACAGGATACTACACTAGATGAACCATTGGTATGATCCAGTATGGCAACTCTTATGGTCTTATGAATAGAGACAGGCAGAACTGCTTTTGAGTGCTACCTCAGGCTAGATTCTCCAAGGGACTTAGGTGTGTCACTACCACTTTAGGCACCTAACTCCCAGATATACGCACCACTAGTAAAAACAACAGGAGTACTTGTGGCACCTTAGAGACTAACAAATTTATTAGAGCATAAGCTTTCGTGGGCTACAGCCCACTTCTTCGGATGCATATAGAGTGGAACATATATTGAGGAGATATATATACACATATACAGAGAGCATGAACAGGTGGGAGTTGTCTTACCAACTCTGAGAGGCCAATTAAGTAAGAGCAAAAACAAATCTGACATCAGGAATTATAATACTCAAAAACCAGTGGGAGAACACTTTAATCTGTCTGGCCATTCAATGACAGACCTGCGGGT